TGGTTAGTCCTGTCCTGTTATTTTGTTTAGGATTTGAATTGTGTGTTTATGAGCTTCACTTCTCCACTCAACCAAGTGTTCTTTTGCTGCAGCCTCAACATCAGTGGCTGGGAAATTATGATATCTCTTGGTTTCATGGCAGCAGCATGGTAATGCATATATATACCATCTGGGGTCTCTCGAGTGTAGCGGGTACCGCCACATTTAGTGCTAAACTTTCACTTTGAATTTAACAATCCATGCTTCTTCAACTTTCAAATTTAACTAGGTTCCCTTTAGCTCCATTTGGTTGGAAAATGTTTGAAAATAAATAGAATTGAAATTGTATGGAAAAGAAAGGGTGAATCAACGATTTGATCCCTCACTTATTCGCAACTTGTCAATGTTGCCCCTGAATCACGTATTCATCAATTTAGTCCCCGGAAATAATTGTTTTTCGTAAAATAAGTCCCTCAGGCCGTTTTCCGTCATGTCTCAGGCGAGACCTCCGATTTGTCTTGGGCATTTTGGTCTTTTCACGACTTCTTCTTCATTAACTCTGACCAAACTTCGCCGGAGAAGCTCAAGCTCGCCGGAGGGAGCTTCTTCTCTTCCGCCGACGTCAGCTTCACCTCCGATTTCAGAGCTTTCCAGAATCGCAAGCAAATCAAAGCAACACTACAACATTTTTACGCCCCGGTCTACTCCAGGGGAAGACAATCAAACAGAGAAAAAGCAACGCAGCAATGGTGTTGATCGAAGCCGTGCCATCCTCTGACGAAACGTCAAAGCCAAAACCGCTACCAGTCAAGGCGGCTGAAGCATCGACAGGCGCTGGTTCGTCCTCTGCGGCTGCGCCGGCGGCATCTAGATATGGTTCCGATGGTTACGAGACTGCTAGCGATACCGAACTTAACGAGACTGATGAGGCAGAAGGGAAGAAAGAGGAACAAAACCTTAGTCACAGTAGTGTAAAGGACGAGAAAGCAAAAGAAGATTATGGGAGCCCTGCCACATCAATACCGTCGTCTTCTTCGGGTGGAAATGAAGAGGCGCCGAAACAGAAAATGGAATCCGACATGGATCAACTTCACGAGGTTCTCTCTCTCTCTCTCTCTCTCACAATACATATGACTCCGATGCTAAATTTGTATATGCTTATGTTGCATTATTTTGAAAAGAGTAAGCTAAATAAGGGAATATATATCTTCTACTCTGCTGCTGGAGAATGATGTTTATGCATTGTGATTTCCGGCATTCATTGGAGCTTTGTAATCCAACGATGCGTTGGGGGTGCGCCGGCGATCCCCCGGCAGATCGCGGCGACAGGCGGCGGCTAGCTCCGTCTCGATCTCTTCTTTTTCGGTAAAAGCTGAGCAACAACAACATCCGACGGCGAGACAAGGTCCATGGACCTACATCTCCCCTCCCTCTCTCTGGTGGAATCACGAAGAGGCGGAAGCAGCAGATCGGAGCAGCGACCTCCGCCCCTGGCAGTTGATCCCTCCCGGCGAAGCAGCAAACCGGCAATGGAGTTTTTCGGCGAGCTTGAGCTTCTCCGGCGAAGTTTGGTCAGAGTTAATGAAGAAGAAGGCGTGAAAAGACCAAAATGCCAAGGGCAAATCGGAGGTCTCGCCTGAGACATGACGGAAAACGGCCTGAGGGACTTATTTGACGAAAAACAATTATTTTCGGGGACTAAATTGATGAATACGTGATTCAGGGGCAACATTGACAAGTCGCGAATAAGTGAGGGACCAAATCGTTGATTCACCCGGAAAAGAAATTATCAGAAAGATTGATCCATCGTTTGGTTTGTAGAAAAGAAATTACTGAGAATATTGATTATGTTGTTTTATTGAGATTGGAATGATAAGGAATAATGAGTATAAAAACTAAAATGCCCCTACACGATAATTATGATAATAAAAGTAATAAGGAAAAATTGTCCAATCATGTGATACTTTCAAAAAAAAAACAAAATACCACATCCCCTCCTTGGAAAACTTTTTCCTCAAAACTAAGAAAATGTTTTCCATGAACCCATAGAGGAAAATTCCATTTTTGCTCAAATTTAAGGAAAACTTTTTTCATCCAACCAAATATTGCTCTTAGTGTAAGGGCAAAGTTAGGGCCGGAGTTGATTAAAATTTTGAAAGTTGAAGGACCATGATTAACTTAAAAGTTTAAGGCGTAGTTTAGTAGTTAAATTTGATAGTTGAAAGACTAGGAATACTTAAATTGAAAGTTTATGACTAAACTATACTCGACGACCTCAGCTGGTATTAACTTTGCATATATAAATTCTTTTGATTTGCTAGCTTGTCTTGTCTTGCTTCCACACTCTTGATATTGTTATGCATTGTATTTGGGGTTTCTAGTGTTCGGGTTGCAAACGAGCTGGGAAAGGGGAGTGCAAAGGAAGCGAGGTTCTCCATCAACGTGGTCTTGCTGACATCCTTTGCCATCGGAGTTGTGCTATTCTTGTTTTTCCTGTTCCTGCGTGGGAACCTGGCTTATCTTTTCACAGACAGTCACGATGTGGTCGAGGCAGTTGATCAACTGTCACTTCTATTGGCATTTTCTATACTTCTAAGCAGTGTTCACCCAGTTCTTTCTGGTAAGCTAAGCTCCATTTCCTCGTACCAATGGTTTGTGGTTGGGTTTTGGTTAATTGCTACTAACTACAATAATACAGGTGTTGCTATTGGGGCTGGTTGGCAGAGTACAGTGGCATATGTTAACCTGGGATGCTATTACTTAATTGGAATCCCAGTTGGTGTCGTTCTTGGTTATGTCTTCAAATTGCAGGTTAGGGTGAGTATAAACAATTATATCATAGTCAGATTATTGACCTGGTAATCACAAGATTTTAATGTTCACCCCTAGTGGAAATGTGGTTTTTTTAACCTTCTTAATTTGAGCCGATCAGTTATATGAAACATAGGCTAGTTTGTTTTATTGTATAGTACTTGACTCTAGGGCCACAAAGCGAGATTTAACAATATAATTGTGGCGCAGGGTGTGTGGATAGGAATGCTGTTTGGTATGTTTGCACAGACCATCGTTTTGCTTGTAATCACTTTCAAAACCGACTGGGACAAACAGGTAATTGCCATCACTCCCCCCTTCATTTGAGCAGAACCAAACTTGATTGAACTTGAATTTGAATTTGAATTTTTTAATCAAATGGAGTTTTGAGTTTGACTATTTGTGCTTATATTAGTTCGTCTATTATAACTAACCCTGCTCCCCATACATACTCTCATTCATATGTCATATCTGTTGCTACAGGTTGCAGATGCTCAAAAGCGTGTTCGAAATTGGGCGGTAGAACCTAAACCTGAACCTGGAGATGCAAATTAAACGCATAGGAAAATCCTATATATACTCACATTCTTTACTCTCAATTTTTACTTTTATATTTAAAATTTCGATATAGACACTCTTACAGGGACCTTCATAGAGAAAATAACCTATTAGCGCCCATCACATTATGAAGTAAATTTGAGAGAGTAAAATTTGAGTGTAGTAGAACTCGGTATAGAATGCTTAATATTAATCCCAGACTATCTGCATTTACATTAACATGTTATGTTATTGTATGGTTTTTGTTGAGTTTACAGTTTTACACCCCCAAAGCACGGGCTAATTATATCCAACCAGGGTTCACCTTTCCGTTCGTTATAGACCATGGTCTAAAATAACATTTATATTATGTGTCTGTAGTTAATGAATTATATGTATGTAAATAAATTGACGATCCATATATAATATGTTAACTATATATATATATATATATATATATATATATATATATATATATATATATATATATATATATATATATATATACACTTCTGCTAAAATGTGGACACGCCTTCTTGTGCGGTCAGTGCTACCGCTTGAAAAAAGCACCAATAGCGTTAGGAAAATGCACAACAATGAAGTGCACAAATACACCAAAAAAATGTACAACACACAAAAAAAAATGCACCATAACTCCCCACCCTAATTATGCATTTCTAAACACTGTGCAGTGCTTTTATTCATACCTAATGGTGCGTTTTTGGTGATGCGTACCTAATTTGCGCATTTTTTGTTGTTGTGCATTCCGTAACATTGTGGTGGCCTTGACTTAGGGTATGTTTGGTTCGCTGGAAAATGTTTTCCTTGAATTTAAGAAAAACTAATTTTTCCTTTGTTTGGATCATGGAAAACATTTTCCTCAAGAATGAGGAAAACATTTTTCATAGTCTCCCCTTCATATTTTGTTTTACATGGAAACAAGTAGGACAATTATGCCTTCACCAACTTTTCTTAATTACCATTATTATTATTGTTGTTATTATTGTGTAGGGGGTATAATTGTCTTTATAATCATTATTTCTTATAATTTCAAATCCAACCAAACAATGAAATTCATATTCTCAGTAATTTCTTTTCCACCAACCAAACAATGGAATCCATTTTCCTAGAATTTATTTTCCATTGAATTTCAATTTTATATTTCCCTTCAAATATTTTCCAGCGAACCAAACGGGTGGTTAGTCTCTTGGCCTACCATATTTTTAGAGTTTGTTAGACCTCTTTTCATAAATTAGTATTGTCTTATCATCACATAATCATGTTCAATTCTATTACTAATCTTGTACTACTCTTACATTAATCCAAATGACTATTACTACATTTATTTCTCTTACTATTTTACCCTTGTTATTTATGCGAACTTAATTGATTCGGACCACCTCAAGTCAATTACAATTAGTTCCCTCAATTATTAAGGTGCATTATATTATATTGGTCTTTCTTTGTTAATTGACAAAGGAAGCAGAAAGCTGTTTTAGTTGCTGAAATGGAATATGATATTGTTGAATGATAAGCAAGTGGCAGCAACAGAAATAAACACGTGGCAACAAGAGGAGCTGACATCAAGAAGCAGTTTAAACAAAGTTTGTTAATAGCAGTTAGGGCACTTTCTTTTGTATAAATTCCCCTTTCCCATCTCTGTACAAGACAAGTCAATTTTTCTCCTTCCAGTAAACACTTTTCCTCTCTAAATGTTCAACACACAAATGCTTCCTTTTGTTCCTGTTAATCTTGCATCGTGAATACACTCTCCAACATGGTATCAGAGCGTCGATGGACCAGCTACGCCGCCGCACTTTCAGCCACCGGAGAGATGAGCGCAGCCGGGAATCAGTCCTCGCCGGCAAATCGATCTCCACTTCGAACACCGCCGGCACTAACTCCGCACAGGAATACATCAATTCCGGCGATTCTTCGAAGCTCAGACGGTCGCTCAGATAGTCTTGATGATCCATTGTTTCTCCACGTGAACGAGAATCCGAGTGCGATTCTCGTCAATCCTCCCCTGTCAACTACAAACTACAACACCTGGAGCATTGCAATGCGAATGGCGTTGGAAATCAAGAACAAGTGGGCGCTGGTAGATGGAAGCATTCCAGTCCCAAATTCAGACCAACCGAATTACAGTAGCTGGAAGAGATGCAATTTGATAGTAAGTTCCTGGATTCTTAAGTCCCTTAGCCCTTCAATTGCACAAAGTGTGATGTATCTCAAACATGCTAAAGAAATTTGGGATGACCTAAAGCGTAGATTCTCTCAGGGAGATCCACATCGGATCTCTCAATTACAAGATGAGATATATAAACTAAATCAAGGAAATATGAGTGTCACAGATTACTACACCAAGTGTAGAACACTCTGGGAAGAAATGAGTGACATGAGGCCTCTTCCAATGTGCAAGTGTTCATGTGATTTAGTTGATATAATAAGGAAAGAACGTGAGGAAGATCAGGTCATTCGCTTCCTGATGGGGTTGAATGAAGAGTTTAGCACACTCAAATCAGGTGTCCTAGTTATTGATCCACTGCCAGAAGTGCACAAAGTGTTTGCCATGGCATTAAAAGTGGAAAGACAATTGAACTTAGCCAATCTAGGGCTAAATAATCTTGAAATCAGCACTGCTAATGCTATACAAGGATCTCAAAATACCTCTGCCAATGAAGAGGTAGTAGCTGCTGTCAACAACTTTACTGGAAAAAGGAGTTTCAACTCTATTAATGGGAATGTAAAAACTGCTAAATGTACCTACTGTGGTATGAATGGTCACACGGTAGACAAATGCTACAAGAAACATGGATATCCTCCGGGATGGGTTCCAGGTTACAAATCCAAAGGGAAACAATACCAGCAAGGGCAATCAGCAGCTGCAGTTTCTGTGAACTCAACCCCTACTAGCCTATCAGCTGATCAAGTTCAGAAGTTACTCTCACTATTACACACTCAAGGTGACCAACACCCCTCTACTGCAGCTACTGTATCTATTTCTCCCAGTGCAAGGCTTATCCCAGACTTCAGCTCCAATGCAGAAGGTACTACAGGAGGCAAGTATATAAATTCTGCTCTTTATTCTACCAATTCTTGGATTCTTGATTCTGGAGCTACAGATCATATTGTTTGCTCCCCTGAATTTTTTGATAATCATCACTTAGCTGAGGGCACTCAAGTCATTCTACCCAATGGTGAAAGTATAATTGTGTCTCATATAGGGGAAATCAGATTGAATGACACAATACTGCTGAAGAATGTTCTGTGTATCCCTTCTTTTACATTCAATATTATTTCAGCCAGCAAACTCATCAAACAATCTGATTATAAGTTGATCTTCATGGCTAATCAATGCTTGATACAGGACAATCTTGGAATGATGACTGGTTTTGCTAAAGAGCAAGGGGGACTCTACTTACTGCTGCAACCCCCAGTGAAGAAACCTTTGAGAAATAGTAGCAATAGTGTAATGCATTGTAATGTTGTCAGTGCCAAGATTTGGCATCAACGGTTGGGACATTTTCCCTCTAATAAAATGCATTTGTTATCTGGTTTGCCCAAACTTAATATCAAACCTTTAATATGTGATGCTTGCCATTATGCCAAACATAAGAGGTCTCCCTTCCCCATAAGTACATCTACATCTAATGCTTGCTTTGAACTAATCCATGTTGACATATGGGGTCCCTTTCCTATTTGCTCCTTAGAAGGGAAACACTATTTCTTGACTATAGTTGATGATTTTTCCAGATTTGCTTGGTTACATTTGATGAGAGCTAAATCTGAAGTGAGATCCTTGATAAAGAACTTTTATAATGTTGTTCAAACTCAGTTTGGTGCCAACATAAAGACCATTAGAAGTGATAATGGAAATGAATTTGATATGAGGGAATTCTTTGCTGAAAAGGGAATCATACATCAAAAGTCCTGTGTGGATACTCCACAACAAAATGCTGTTGTGGAAAGAAAGCATCAGCATATTCTGAATGTGGCAAGGGCTTTGAGCTTTGAAGCTAATCTTCCTCTAAAGTTTTGGGGGCACTCTGTTATGCATGCAACTTATCTTATCAACAGGTTACCATCACCTATCATTGGTTGGTCAACTCCTCACAGCAGACTATATGGCAAGCCATCTGATCTCAGTAATCTCAAAGTGCTGGGATGTTTGTGTTATGCTTCTACCAGCTCACATGCAAGGCACAAGATGGCACCAAGGAGCAGAAAGTGCATTTTTATTGGGCTACCAGCAAACATCAAAGGATATATTCTATATGATCTAAATGACCATTCTCTTTTCATTTCCAGGGATGTGAAGTTCTATGAAGATTGCTTCCCCTTCAAGACAGACCCTACATCTAGGAATGGTGTTGAGCAGATCACAGAAGATTTCAACCCTTCCTTACCTACATTCCCAACCACTAGAGTAGATATTGATCTTGATAAATGGATGCCAGCAGCAGACAGTGATCCACCTGAGATCTCAGTTCAGTATCAGCCACCACACACTAATTCAACTGAGAACCAAACACATATGAGTGCTCCTGACATATCAGATCAGTCTGAACCAGCAGACTATGATTCACTTGGGAGGACAACAGACAATATTCCAGTAGAAGTTCCAGTTCAGCCTAGAAGATCTGTCAGAACAAGGTGCATCCCCACAAAGTTACATGATTATTACTGTGATAATGTGATAACTAATAGGACCTCACCACACTCTGTATCCAAGGTGGTTTCTTACAGTCTCCTATCCCCAGCACATAAAATTTTTGCCACAGCAGTATCTTCCATTCCTGAACCCAAAACTTACAATCAAGCTGTTAAGCATGAATGTTGGAAGCAGGCCATGCAAGCTGAAATTCAAGCCCTCCAAGACAACAACACATGGGTGCTCACTGAGTTACCACCTGGGAAAAGTCCTATAGGCTATAAGTGGGTCTATAAAGTGAAGTTGAAAGCAGATGGATCATTAGAAAGATACAAGGCAAGACTGGTTGCCAAAGGGTATACACAACAGTTAGGAGTTGACTACATTGAGACATTCTCTCCCGTGGCTAGGATGACAACAATCAGGACCTTTTTAGCAGTTGCTATGATCAAAGGGTGGCATATTCATCAGCTAGATATCAACAATGCATTTCTGCATGGTGACTTGGAGGAAGAGGTATACATGACTTTACCCCCTGGTTTTCAAAATAATAAGTCCAATCTGGTTTGCAAATTGATCAGGTCATTATATGGCCTTAAACAGGCAAGTAGACAATGGAATGCCAAACTAACTTCAGCTCTACAGGCCATTGGGTTTATACAGTCAAAATCTGATCCATCTCTTTTTACTAGATCTGATAACAGTTTTGTGGCTATTCTCATTTATGTTGATGATATCTTGGTGGCCAGCAATGATATGGCTTCAATAGCAGATTTGATGAAATTTTTAGACAACACATTTAAAATCAAAGACCTAGGGTCTTTGGGATACTTTCTGGGAATAGAAGTCCTCCGGAATGGTGACACATTGAATCTTTGTCAAAAGAAGTATACCTTGGATATCCTTGAGGAGAATGGATTTCTTGAAAGCAAACCAGTTAGCACTCCAATGGTTCCAGGGCAGCACTTAACACATGATGATGGGACTATTCTGAAGGATGTTAGCTGTTATAGAAGATTGGCCGGGAGATTGCTTTATCTAACAGCTACAAGACCTGACATAGGCTTTGTTGTGCAACAACTAAGTCAGTTTGTTGATGCCCCTACAGAGAAGCACATGGCAGCAGCACACAGAGTCCTGCGATATCTCAAAGCAGCTCCTGGAAAAGGACTTTCATATTCCTCACATTCCCCTCTACACTTACAAGTGTTCTCAGATTCCGATTGGGCAACATGTCCTGAGTCCAGAAAATCCATTACAGGATACTGTGTGTTCTTGGGGGATTCTCTCATATCATGGAAATCTAAAAAGCAACCCACAGTATCTAGGTCTTCGTCAGAAGCTGAATACAGAGCCTTGGCTGCCACAGTGTGCGAAATTCAATGGTTGCAATATCTCTTACACGATTTACAAGTCAATCTGTGCAAACCTGCGACTCTATACTGCGATAACAAGTCCGCAGTGGCAATTGCAGAAAACCATGTTTTTCATGAAAGGACAAAGCATATAGAGATAGACTGTCACATTGTAAGAGAAATGGTGAACAAAGGGATAGTAAAACTGCTGTCAGTTAGCTCACTCAACCAAGTGGCAGACGGGTTCACCAAGCCTCTACCTCAGGCTCAGTTCCACTGTTTTGTGTCTAAACTGGGCTTACAAGATGTGTACGCTCCAGTTTACGGGGGGGTGTTGAATGATAAGCAAGTGGCAGCAACAGAAATAAACACGTGGCAACAAGAGGAGCTGACATCAAGAAGCAGTTTAAACAAAGTTTGTTAATAGCAGTTAGGGCACTTTCTTTTGTATAAATTCCCTTTTCCCATCTCTGTACAAGACAAGTCAATTTTTCTCCTTCCAGTAAACACTTTTCCTCTCTAAATGTTCAACACACAAATGCTTCCTTTTGTTCCTGTTAATCTTGCATCGTGAATACACTCTCCAACAGATATCGCGGTGAGAAGTTATTTCAAACGATGGAGACCGATAAGGGTGTGGTAATTAATAATGAGGAAGTGAAGTTAAGGGAGAATATTTGGTCTGAGATGAAGAAAATGTCAGTTCTGGCTCTTCCGCATGCAATATTTACTAGGGGAATAATAGTACAGTATATATACTCACATTTTTTATTCAATATGTGTTATGAAATTATATAAATATATAATGTTTGTTATTGATTTAAATAAATATATAATTTTACAAAAAAGTTTAGCAAGTACGTGCTCTTAGCATAATTGGTTATATTAAGATTAGATTAAGGATATTTTGAAAATTTGGAAATTGATTTATGGTTTTCCAAGTTTTAGTGTTTGATAAAGTGTGCAAAATGTGAGTCAAAAGAAAATAAGTCTTTGGTCAAAGGAAGATATCCTTATTTTTTTCTTGAAAATGACTTCTCGTCTTTTTTTGAAAAGTCATTAGAAGTCATTTTTCAATTTTCACACCACTATAACACCACAGCACCACCATTATACCACAACCACTACCTTCATCACCTTCACCACCACCACCATTTATATTATTATTATTACGAATAAGGGCCAAATAGGCCATCGAACTACACAAGAAAATGCAATTAGGCCACTGAACTCAAAAAGAATGCAATTGGGTCACTGAACAACGCAAAATATTGCAATTCGACCAAAAATGACTTGTTTACTTATTAACTTGCTAATGTGGAGATTATCATTTAAAATAATAAATTTTTTATTTTATTATAATAATTTAAATTTAAAAAAAAAAAAAAGGTTTGCCGCCGGAGACGAAGAACCAATGTTCGTCTCCGGCAGCCTGGTCTTCGTCTCCGACCGGGGACGAAGAGCTCTTCGTCCCTAGCCGGAGGTTCTTCGTCTCCAGGCTGCCGGAGACGAAGAGGTTCGTCTCCGGCATGGAGACGAAGAACCTTCTTCGTCTCCGGCCAGGGACGAAGAGCTCTTCGTCCCTGGTCAGAGACGAATTCATCTCCAGGCTGCCGGAGACAAAGACTGGTTCTTCGTCTCCGGCAGCGTTTTTTATTTTTTATTTTATTTATTTTTTTAATTTAGATTTGTTATTTTAAATTATTAAAATAAAATTAAAAAGTATTATTTTAATATTGTAACCTCCTCATCAGGTAAACAAGTCATTTTTGACTTAATTGCAATATTTTGTGTTGTTCAGGGACCTAATTGCACTTTTTTTGAGTTCAATGACCTGATTGCATTTTCGTGTGTAGTTCGATGGCCTATTTGATCCTTATTATTATTATTATTATTATTATTATTATTATTATTATTATTATTATTATTATTATTATTATTATTATTATTATTATTATATTCTAAACAAAACAATTAAAATGTTAATTATACAATTATGTTCATTTTTTCAGAAAATGAATTAAACACACCAAGACTGTTTTATGGAATGCAACCAAATACTGAAAATAAAAATGTTTTCTGGAAAATAACTCATTTTCCAAAAAATATTTTTCAGAAGTCATTTTTTTGGTTCTAAACACATCCTAATATTCTTGTTATGAACAATGTTTTTAAATACTAATACAAATCTCAATTAAATTTAAAAAATATATATTTTTTTAAACTTGGGGGTGAGGTGGGGATGGCGGGTTATGCGGATGGACCCACGGGTTACACATGCCAACTTGTATTAACCCGGGTATCCCCACCCCACCTCCACTGGTTAAACGGCTCGAATTGTGTAGCATAAAGACTCTCTCTCTCGCTTAGGTGAAAGTGCAAATCAAATTCAAAAATGAGCTTTGGAAGCTAGAACATGGTCGCCAAAGGTTAGGAATTTTTTATTAGATAGCATAAAGTGTGTGCATGGGCAGGGACGGAGCCAGAAATTGGATTGAGGTGGGGCAAAGGAGTAGGATGGATTAAAAAAAAAATTTCCGGTAA